AGTCTCCCCTGGAGGCGTGGGTTCGAATCCCACTTCTGACATCACCTTTTCACTCACAGTGAGGAGGAAATAGATATGTCACTTTGTACACAGTCGCTTCAGAATGTGTTCACGACGTGTTTTACGACTGAAATGCCTTTCATTAATTAATTTATCATTCATTTATAGTACTGGATCATATTATTTTTATTATTATGTTAGTATAACAAGGGCGTTTTTCCGAGGTGGTGTGTTTTTGTTTGTTTGTTTGTGTTTTGTGTTTGTGTATGTTGTTGATAAGCATATTGTTTACAATATTAGCATAATATTACACACATAATCTATTGATATTGATCTTTTTTGTGGGGGATGTTATGGCGGTTGTCCCTCAGGCTGTGGCAGGTAGATACATATTTACCTGCTAGAGGAGCTGGGGTTGTTAATGTTATTATTTATGACATGTTGAGTGTGATGAAGTGAACAACGGTTATTTTGTTACACCCATGCCCAATTATATATATTTTATTCTTTTATTTTAGACCTTCTGCTCCCTGTTAGTCATTGTATCTTCATCCTAGCACATGAAATTGTTCCTCATCAGCCATCACATTATAGGATTTTGCTTGTGAGTTAAATATTTACAGCCTCCTATAGGGCCATAGGGTCATTCATTAAACTCAGGGTATCACCCCTCTGTCTTATCGAGATACATTAACATGCACATACAAAAACATCCACACCAAGAAGGCGTCAATGAGTCAATTATTATTTTTATTTTTTGCTATTTTGTCTCCCTCCTCCCACTTTTCAAACACATTAATGAGTCACTCAGGTGAGAGGCCTCTGAGAGCCATATGGGAGGTGCCAGGGGGAGGTAGAGACAGCAAAAGAGGGAGAGACCAAAGCAGATAGAAAGAGAGAGAGGGTGATGAAACACTCTGTTTGTGTGTATGTGTGTGTGTGTGTGAGAGAGAGAGGGTAAGGTGTAGAGAGACTCACCACCATTAGACACCTGTCAGTGCAGGTGGAGAGAGGGACTGCTGGATATCTGAACCTGGAGATTTCACTGGATGGATCCTCTTTAACTCTTTTCTTTTTTAACCATCAAGACTTTGCATATATGTGTTTTATTTATTATTCCTGCATTGGACATAACTTAACTTCACTTTAAAGATTTGCTGCTGCCACCAGTGGATGTAATCCCAACACTCAGCTGCCGTTTAAGGAGGGGAAACTGCTGGAGGAGGATTTATTTATTTGAAATTCTGAGACTGATTCTTCCTCCATTAAAGGAGTTTATCGTTTTGAGACACCCATCTTCAGCATAAGCTGCGTGATCATGGCAGACTTCCCGTCCAAGGTTGCCACAGAGACCAGCTCCCCCCACTCCCAGGGCTCTCAGCAGGGAGGCAACAGTCTCAGAGGGCTGGCTGCGAGTGTCACCATTAGGATGGACCTGTCCTTTATCCGAAGCATCCCGGCCATCCTCATGATGGCAGAAATAGTACGTAAACAGGATCAGAGCTATTCTGTTTTTACTTTGTTCACTACAAACTCATTTCTATTCTGTTCAGAGGCCACAGGTCTGCTCTGTTCTACTGAAGCCATTATGGATCAGATTATTAAAGGATAAGGCTGGCGATATTCTGTATTTTTCTCACTGTCAACATCCCATGACAAGACTTCTTGTGCTTAAAACAAACTGGCCACAAATACCATAAAACTTCAGTTTATAGCCCAGGTTTTTATTTGCTTCAGTCACTGAACTCAACCTGCCTTTAATTTAATTTAAATTTAATTTAGTTGCTTTTGCACAAAAGTCTTGCTCAGCAAAAATGGAAAATACTGTAAAACAATTTATTTAAACCAGTATGAATGTTATTTATATAAAAAAACAGGCTATAAGATTACATTTACATACACAATTATGAATCATTAAGTTGATTATTTGATACTTTGGTGCCCATGGTTGCTATGAAATGAACTTAAGTTTTACAGTATATGGTTTCATTTTTTAGAAAGGCAAAATGATTTTACTAAAACAGCTGGGCACTGTAGTTTTTAGCAAACATTACTCAGACAGAAAGTAATTCGCATTTGTTGGGGACTAGTTTCAGTAGCGGATTAATACACGTTTGGTGATCTAGTATAAGCAGCAGAACGGTGGGTGTGGGATGAACTCAAAATAAACTACAGTGCCCATGTCACCCAGTGCCTCAGTGGGGCTCATTGATGTGTTTTTAGACAGTAATGGAGTTCTATGGCACAGAGAAAGAAGATATATCAGACATTATCAGTAATTTATACAGTCAATACATTGTTGGTTTTGGTCTTTTCGTGGCCTTTTTTGACAGTAAAATCATATTTAAAAAATCACCAGTTTTATCCTTTAACTCCTTGATA